TTTCAGTCACAGTAGTGTGCAACTCCGTGTAAGTGTCAGCGTCAGCTTTTCTTCTGTAGTTCCGTTTACTTCGGCAGACCTAACACATGCTGCTGGTTAAAATGATTCTGACTTTAGATTATGTTACTTTTTAGGGCGAGAAGGGCGAGAAGGGCGAGAAAGGCGAGAAGGGCGAGAAAGGCCAGAAGGGCGAGAAGGGTGAGAAGGGCGATTCGGGATCAAATTGTACATACAACTTACAGGTAAACATGGGTAAACCGCTATAGGCTCTCCGCTTCTGACTTTGATTGAATTTCAAGACATTGTCTCTGGAATTTTTTGAAAAAAAATTAAATTTAATCGAGAGCTAGTATGGCATTTCAATTCCTTTCTCCACTGTTATACTAAAACAGGATCCAAACAAACCTTCTGCGGAATGTAACATTGGAATAGCTTACAGCTGACTGTAACCTGACAGGAAAACGAAACAGATAGACTGATTTTCGAATTTATTTCCTCACTAAGGCCTTTATCATTTCTCTCTCACGTTCAAGTTTTGTGCTTTGTTTCAGACAAAACCGTCTGCGCATATTGTGGCATCTTATGTCAAGCGGTCTAGCTACTCGATTAGGACAGGTACGTTTGTATCAATATGCCAGAGAGCACTTAACAAACATAAGAAAGGGGAGACCTTGTGATAAACAACAAGTCATCTTTTAATGGCGGGAAGATCACACTTTTCGCACATCCGGGAATCTCTAAATATGGGTTTGTCAAATAAGGGCATGTCACGCCACATTTCACAACGTTAATTCAGCATTTTGTTTTATCTGGTCAAATCTTGCAGTCGGCAAACTAGACAAACAGCATCCATGCTCTGAGTGGCATCAATGGTTAGTTTATCACAGTGATTTCAATCCCGAGACGATGCTTGCTAATGAATACTAGTAGAACAAAGATAACATTTAAGGGAGCAGAAGGTAATTAAACTAACTAATTCCAATCATTTCACTCGTTGAAGGCTCACTGGATAAAATAAGAGCTAAGAAATGAGAATAAAGAATAGATATTTAATTCTGCAGAGAACAAACACAACGTAACTGATGACCAAAAGCATGCTTACCGCTGTACGATATGTTTTGTGACTAAAAAGGGACAGAGAACGGACCGAGCAACTTCAGTTTTAATTATATTTCATTCATTTGGTTTCTTCAGATTATAAGACTGTCTGTTTGAAAACAGGAGTATGAGGCTGGGAAACAATAACAAGAACATTGAGGAACAATGTTGATTAAAGAAGCTCAGTCAAGGTGTTTTGAGTCGTTTTGGTCACGTACCAAATCTCCTTTAAATGGAAGGAAACCTGAAAATAATAGTTTACTAAGATAGAAAAACATTAAAGAGATAGTGATAAACCATAGAGGACCAAGAATGGTCAAGAATGGCGAAGATTGACACGGATTGCAAACGACGAATTTGAAAAATTTAGGCTAAACTTTCAAGATGTGCAAACCGTGACTGAGCTCCTTTAAGCGGGGTATGACTTTCTTTCCAGTGATAAAAGACTGGTCTGCTAGCGACCCTCACAGTCATCTTGAAGGCGGCATGAAGTACGAAGATGGAAAACTGACGGTACCCAAGGCTGGAATGTATTACATTTACGCGCAGCTCCAGTTTCTGACCAAAGGAAAAGTGCAGATTGTTGTGAATGATCATTTGGTCAGCATGATTTCGTCACCACTCCAAATAAAAGATTATTCCGTAATGGCGACCGGCAGTTGTGTTTTTGTCTTAAATGCCAGTGATACTATCTCGTTGCGGATTAACTGGTATGGGGCTCCAACCGATGGCTTCGTGAAATTTTGGATGGAATACAGCAAATGTTTCTTCGGGGCGTTTTTTATTTGAGTTTGTAACACAGTCGTATCGGTGTAGCGATGTCTACTTTTAACATTTTCATTGAACATTGTAATTTTTTAGCAAGAGTGAATACAAATAAAGATTTATTGATTGATTGACTGATTGATGTTGTAGCGGTTTCTAACAGTTTTTTTTTATATACCATTGGCTTAAAGTTCTGTAATGCTAATAACGGCTGGTATCCTAGAACTCGTAACCTTCAGCTGGAAATAAGATTATTAATCTTCAATTCTGGAACAAAAGATTGCTAAGAGTGGTTTCCGCCACCATGACTGCAGTAAAACCAAGTCATATTGTCTCGTGTGTGGAGGCGCGGTGGCCTCATGGTTAGTGCGCTCGTCTCCGGATCGAGCGGTCCGAGCTCGAGCCCTGGCCGGGGACACTGTATTGTGTTTTAGGCGAGACACTTTACTATCACAGTGACTCTCTCCACCCACGTGTACAAAAGGGTACCGGCGAATTTAATGCTGGGGGGAATCCTGTGATGGACTCAATATCCCACCCAGGGCGGAGTAGAAATGCTCCAAGTCGCTTCATGCTACAGAAACCGGGATAAGCTCCGGCCAGCTGATGAGCCACTTGACTCATATGCATACCTTACCATCTCGCGTATCATGGCAAACGGAACTAACGAAGCACATCACTGCTCCCAAATTTACCTGTTTTGTACCAATTCCGGGCCTTTTGAATTTGACTCTCACCAAGAGCCATAATCGGGGACGGAGACCGTAAGCGCGCACCATTTTAAGTATTGGGGCTGTCCCCATGATATGGGACAATAATCCTATTTGTAGAACAAATTGCGCCATCGCCTGCGGCACACGCGCGTACATGCTGCGAGGATTTCTGCGGATGTCACAGGGGGGAAATGGCGTCCGAAATTCCCGAAATTTTTCACGTTTTTAGCCCACAACTCAACGCGTTTACGTCTGTTGAAATTCTGCTTAATTAAGTATTCTCGTCGAAAGCTGCTCCAGTTTGAGTGAAGTAAGATCGTGTCGAATTTAGGTATGTTCCGCTTTAAGGTTATATATATCGCTGACTAAGTTGTGTTCCGACGGATGACCCCAGTTTAAATTTCACATACGTTGAAGATTAACAGCTTTTCCATTACACAGCAAAAAGCTAGCTGGATATATTTAGATATAGCAGAGCTT